AGTAGTAGTAGTAGTAGTAGTAGTAGTAGTAGTAGTAGTAGAGTAGTTGTAGTAGTAGTTGTAGTAGTAGTTGTAGTAGTAGTAGTAGTTAGTAGTAGTAGTAGTAGTAGTAGTAGTAGTAGTAGTAGTAGTAGTAGTAGTAGTAGTAGTAGTAGTAGTAGTATTAGTAGTAGTAGTATTAGTTTTAGTAGTAGTAGTAGTAGTAGTAGTAGTAGCAGCAGTAGTAGTAGTAGTAGTAGTAGTTAGAAATAGCGTGTAGGAGGGTGGAGGAGGACGAGGAGGAGGAGGAGTTGGTGGAGGAGGAGGAGGAAGAGGATGAGGAGGCGGATGAGGCGAGAGGAGAAGGAGGATAGGGCAGGAGGAGGAGGAGGAGGAGGAGGAGGAGACACGGGCAGGAGGAAGAGGAGGAGGAGGCGGGGAAGGAGGAGGCGAGTGGAGGAAGCTCTCCTCGCTGCCCTGTCTGGCGCGCGGGGCGCCTGCCGAGGTCCTCGCCGGCGCGGGCGTCCTTCGTGGGGGGCATCGCCTCGCGGGTGCTGCGGCGCCCGCGCCCCAACGCGCGGCAGGCCCGCCGTCCTCGCTGGGGGGGCGGAGGGAACGAGGGAGCGACGGAGGGAGCGGAGAGGATGAGCAGGAGTGGAGGAGGAGGCGGAGGAGGAGGAGAAGGAAGAGGAGGAGGAGGAGGAGAAGGAGGAGGAGGAGGAGGAGGAGGGGGAGGAGGGGGGGGAGGAGGAAAAGGAGGAGGAGGGACGAGGCGGAGGAGCAGGACGGAAGCAGCCGGAGGAGGACGAGGATGAGGAGGAGGAGCTGCACCCGCAGGGATCACAAGCTACCAGGAACCAGGAACCAGGAGGAGGAGTAGAAGCAGGAGGAGGAGGAGGAGCGGTAGTGGGGGGAGGAGAAGGCGTCGGCAGGAGGGATGATATCGGTTGTCTAGATGGTGATGGTGATGATGCTGGTGATGATTTTGATGATGATAGTGATGGTGATGGTGACGGTGATGATGATCATGGTGATGGTGATGGTGCTGATGATGGTAGCGATGGTGATGGTGATTGTGATGGTGATGGTGATGGCGAGTATGATGATGTCGACGAAGATGATGATGATACTGTTGATGGTGATGATGATGATGCTGATGATGCTGATGAGGAGGATTATGAGTATGCCGTTGATGGTGTTCATGCTGATGATGATCATGATGACGATGCGTATGATGATTGTGCTGATGTTTCTGAGAATGATACTGATTGCTGCTGAAGACAATGGTATTGACATCCATCACGGCAACGAGTATGATGATGTTGCTATTGATGACGATGGCAATGACGTAGATGATGGTGATGTTGGTGATGTTGTGGTTGTTGTTTATGATGGTGGTGATGATGGTACTGGTGTTGGTGATGCAGATGATGGTTATGATGATGCTGCTGCTGATGGTAATGATGTTGACGACGACGATGTAAATGAAGCTGATGATGGTAATGATAATGGTGGTGGTGATTGTGTTGATGGTGATGGTGATGGTGATGGTGATGGTGATGGTGATGTCGCCCCACGCGCCAATGTCCTGGGCCCCCCCCCGCTGTGAAGGGGCCCACTGTGCGTGTCGTTTCGATGCTCGCACATTGTGCCGTCGAGGGAGGACGAGGGGGAAGGCAGGGAGAAAAAAATGCCGGAGGTAAGCAGGGAGGAGGGAGAGGACCGCAGTCCTGCAGAGCAGAGGCAAGCAGAGCAGGCCTGCAGCGGCGGCGAAAAGCAGTCCCGCACGAGGGGTCTTCTTGCTGGACGCCATGCAGCGGAGCTTGGCCTGCAAGCTCGCTTCTCAGTCTGCCTTGTGAGTCACGGCCGAAGCCTCCGAACTCGTACAGGGAAGCTGGAAAAGGCGGCCTTAGGTCTTGCATGTCCCCCTACAGGCGAAACATCAAACAATTTCAAACCCATATACAAACCATACAAACATAATCAAACATATTTGAGCTTGAATGTTCCTCCTGCAGAGGGACAGGCCCTGCGTAAAGGTGGCCAGGGCCAGCCACTTCGCTCTGTCCAGCCCTGGTCCGGTTCCTTTCGTCCTCTCCAGCCCTGGCGACAAAGTCCCATCGATGTCGGGTCTGGAACCAGCCACTGCCAGTTCTTCCAGCCCTGGCCACTCCCACTTCCATTGAATTTCCAGCATCCACGTGTCAGGCTTCTCTGTACTCCACATGGTGGCCAGAGCCAGGCTCCTCTCGTCCTCGCCGTCGGCGTCGACGAAGGGGGAACGGCTGTTGTGGAAGGCAGTGGTCATGCGCATCTGGGCAGCACTCTGGGCAAGCAGCTGTATAATGCGAGCGTGCGGGTCTGGGTCGAAAGAGTCGCCTGGGTCGTGCTCGGAGCCGCCGTCTGACGCGCACTGGCCGAAGGAGTCGTCACCAGAGCCGATGTCGGATTGGCCTTGGCCGAAACAGGGGCCATCGGATTGGCCGGCGTGGGAGTCGATGCTCGCGTCGTCCTCCTCGTCGGGCCAGGGGCATTTAGTGCATTAGCGCTTCTTTCCTTCTCCCTCCACCGCGGCTCGCCTTGCCCACCACTGGTGCTCCGAGCCTGGCGCTTGCGCGCTACTCGAGCTTGAGGGTCACGCCCCTCTGCGACGGCATTTTTCGAGGGCTCCACAGCGCTTACGTGACAGGTCATCTGGCTGCGTGACTCATCCCAGATGTCGATGTGTGTGGGTGGGCCTGGGGCAGGCTTCGCCAAGCTCATGTTAGGTCGGGCCTGTCCCCCTGCAGGAAGAGTTTGGGCGAAAAATTAAAAATATTCTAAAACTGTTCCCGACATGCTTGACAATAGTCCAAAAGTCTCCCCAGACTATTTTTAAACAATGTTGAAAAATAGCCCCTGTAGAGGGACAGGCCCGACGAAGTAGTAAGTGCCCCTTTCTAATTTGTCGCTGGAGCGGAGTTCGCCGCCTCGCCGCCGACGGAAAAAGGCGGCGCTCGTGGGGAGCCACCTATAGGACGAGTGGCTGCGGCCGCCGCCACTCCGGCGCCCTGCTCGCCCGCTCTTCCGCGGGGCCTCTGGTGTGCTCCTTGCACTTGTGGGGCGCGGGGGTGCCGCTGTATGACGTCCGCCACAACAGCAATACACAGACACCCTCCACTGGAATGCTCCTGGGACCTCCGGGGAGGGTAGCGGTGTGTGAACCACCACTGGGGGCCAGCGACTTGAATACACCGTCGCCCTCCCCCGGAGGTACGTGCAACATGCGTCGGAGGAAGTCTGTGTGTATACTTTCGTGGCGTGGGACGGTGCAGGAGCCCGGGCACGAGCGGCCGCCAATGCGGCCACGACAGCTACAATTCCGCCTGGAGCGGCGATTGCGGCGCCGATCCGCCGGCCATTCTCCGCCTCGCGCACCGCCTCGGTGTCGGTCTCGGCCGAGGCGACGGGCGGCACCGGGGCGCCCAGCACGGGCGCCCCCCTCCACTCTGGGGCCCGCCGCGGCACCGGGGTCTTCACACCCACCGTCGCCGTCCTCCAGGCCGCCGTTGCTCCCGACGAAAAAAGAAGGGCCCGAGGCCGTAGTCATTGCCGGCCACGTCCTTCAGCGCCAGCTCGAAGTCATCGTCGGGCTAGGAGCCCAGACCCCCGAGGTCATGATTTTTCCATGACGCGGCCCCCAGAGGTCCGGACCCTTTCCCCAGGACCGGTTGATCATCCTGAATGGTTCTTTGACGGCCTTGCAAGGCCACCCAGAGGCCGAAAGTATCGAAACACCTGCCGCCGTGATTTTCTCACATCGCGAGGGGGTTCTGGGAGGGGAGGCCGAGTTCCCTGAAGCCGCGGCGGAGCCCGCCCTCCGCTGGCACGGAGTCGGAGGCGGACCGGTCGCCAGGCTGCTCGAGGGCCAGCGGGGCCCGCAGGGCAGTTGCTCGCGGGGCGGAGGCGTCCCGGGGCGCAGTGGCGTGCGCCGAGCGAGCCGCGGCCGCCGCAGTAGCACAGGCGCAGGGCTCGTTTCGATGCCTCCGCTTCGATTCGATGCGATTTCGGTGGCTTCCGGCTCCGATTCGATTCGACTTCGGATGCCGATCTGGATTCCGATTCCTTACTGGAGGCACATTGGCCCGTCGAGTTCTGCCGAGATTCGACGTCTCCCGACTCGGCTGCCGCTGTCCGCCGATCCGATTCGTTTCGGTCGCCGATCCGATTTACCGATTCGATTTGGGGATCTTCTCCCAGGCTGCCGAGAAAGAAAACCACGAGGAGCCCCCCGCCAGAGGTCTCCAGACCCCCCGACGGCCTCTGGCAGCCAGAAAAACACCCCCAACCAATTCCAGCAACCTCCGAGAATATCTCTCCTCCTCCTCCTCCTTCTCCTCCTCCTCCTCCTCCTCCTCCTCCTCCTCCTCCTCCTCCTCCCTCCTCCTCCCTCCTCCTCCCTCCTCCCTCCTCCTCCTCCTCCCTCCTCCTCCTCCTCCTCCTCCTCCCCCCTCCTCCTCCTCCTCCTCCTCCTCCTCTCCTCCTCCTTCTCCTCCTCCTCCTCCTCCTCCTCCTCCTCCTCCTCCTGCCTGGGACTGCAGGCCCCCTGCCGCTGCGGCCCGCGCGAGGGCGCTGAGGCTCAAGTCGGGCATGTCCCTCTACAGGAGGAATATTCAATTAGCCTGGCGAAGGGCCCAACCATATGCAGTTGTGAATTCTGCAACTGTGAATATCATCTTCGCCCGCGCTCCCTATGGGGCCACGAACCGTGTGAGGGGCGTGCCGAAATGCGTGGCCGGGTACACCATCGGGCATGTCCCTCTACAGGAGGAATATTCCAAAATAGTCCAAAAATAGTCTGGGACCGATGTTTCGAACATGTTTTAACCCATGTTTGAGAAATTGTGGGTTATGTTTGATTGTTCCTCCAACATCGGCCTGTACGGTGACAGGCCCGACCCGCCTGCTGCGATTCTCTGCGAGCTCCTGCTGCTGAGATTGAGTCGGGCCTGTCCCTCTACAGCATGAGTGTTCAAAAAAAGTCCCACAAATAGTCTGGGGACGATGTTTCGAGCATGCTTTTTACAAATTGGGGGCATTTTTAAAGTATTTCTAATTTTTCGTCCAAAATCCGCCTGTAGGGGGACATTCCCGACCTAATGCTGCTGAGAGGGCACTGCGCGATGCTCCACGTTTCCTCAGATCCGACGTTGAGGGTCCCGGGGCCCGAAATGGAGCGGAAACGCCCGTTGCGAACAAAATTACCGGATCTCAGGCTTCTCCATCTGTGGCACACGCCTCGGCCTGCGTCCGGCGCGACTCCAGTACACTGGGGCGGGCAGCTGGGCAGCCCCCAGCGGCGCGCGGCCCAGCACGCGGCGACGTGCGCAGGTTGGCCCGCCGGAAGGGCCACGTGGGCGCCCTGGGCTGGCAGGCGTCGCAGGGCGGCAACGCTTAGGTCGGGCATGTCCCCCTACAGGCGGATTTTGGACGAAAAAACAAAATATTCAAAAAGTGTCCCCAAATGGTGAAACCATACTCGAAAAATGATCCCCTAACTATTTTGTTCAACTTTTCTGAATATTCCTCGTGTAGAGGGACAGGCCCGACTTACGGCAACGCCAAGGCGGCACAGCACCGCAGCCAGCAGGACGGGGCTAGGACGAGGACAAATCCGTTCCAGAGCGTTCTGGAACGCTCGCGGAGCGTTTCGGAACGCTCTGAGAAGGTCGCAGCGCCCGAAGCATCTTCCAGATGCGCCAGATCCCAGGGATTCTCGATCTGATCTGGCCTGGCCAGAGTTTATCCTCGTCCTGGCTTCGTCTTAGTCTTAGCCAGGGGCCTCGAGGCCAGCCGCACGGCATGCTCCAGATGCGCCTCGCGCTCCATCTGACTCGTCGGGGTCGCTTTGGAATGGCAACGCCCCTTGTCGCGTGCGCTCGGCGGTCATGCAGTGCTGAGTTGTTTCAAAACAAACACGCCTTGAGCTGTCGCGCAACTAGTGATGGGCCGATTCTCCACCACCATTACCACAGGTAGGAGAGGGAGGAGGAGGAGGAGGAGGAGGAGGAGGAGGAGGAGGAGGAGGAGGAGGACCTCCCCATCCTCCCTTCTCCCTGGGCCCCTGGCTTACCACTGGTAGTGGTGGTGGACAACTGGCCCATCAACTAATTAGGAGGAGTAGGGAGGAGGGAGCTGGCAGAAAGGACGGTGGGGAAGGCACAGGAAGGGGGGACGAGGAGGGAGGGGGGCAGGAGTCGAGCGGGCCCGGATCGATCAATTGCTCCAGAGCGTTCCGGCACGCTCGGGGCGCTCTGGAACGGCCGCGGCGCCCGATACGGAGGGGCCGCCCCAGCCTGCTCTTCCAGAGTGCAGAAAAATAGCCCTCCAGACCTATAGATCTATCTGGGCTGCTTAACACCTCGACAGGCATTAAGATATCGAGGTCCTGGTGCTAACTATTTTTTAGCCCCTCTGGAAGGTCAGGGTAGCCGACCCCTAGCAAACCATCCCCTTCCGTGACGTCCCCCTCGCCTCGCCCCAAGACGTCTGTATGCGGCCGGAGGGAAGCTTGAAAGGCGAGGTCGGCGTCACTGAAGGGGATGGTTTGCTAGGGGTCGGTTATGTAGGCCGCGCCCGAGGTACATTATCTGGAGCCGCCGAGCATCAGAGGCTCCCGATCTGTCCTGGTCCGAGATTGCCCCAGTCCTGGCTTCGTCTTCCGGGGGGGCCTCTTCCCTCCCGCTCCTCCCCCAGTCATTCCCTCGTCTTGCCCTCTTCGTCCCCAGACCCCCGACGTCATGATTTTTTCATTACGCGACCCCCAGAGGTCCAGACCTATTCGCCGGGACGGGTTCTTCATCCCGAGTCGGTTTTTGACGGTCCCGAGGCCCGGTGAGGGACCCCAAAGGCAGAAAATAGTGAAAAACTGTCCGTCGTGATTTCTTTCATGATTCGAGGGGGTCTGGGTCAGAGGCGTCGTCACGTCGTCCTCGCCGCACCCACTCCTCGCTCGACGGCGCGATTTAATTTCCGATGGTTTTTCAGGGGTCCCGGGGGGGCCTCCGGGTATGGGCCTCGTCCGCGGAACTCTTCGGGACCTTGGGAAGCCGTTTTGTTTGCGTTTCGCCTGGCTCGACCTTTGGGATTCTTGTTTGCCTCCGGGATCCAGCCCGACCGGCTTTCCGGGAAGGGGGGGGAGCGTAACGGTTCCCCCCCATGAAAATGTTCTGGCCTCCATGCAGCTTGCCACCGTGCTGGTGGCCCCACAAGTCTTGTCGCGGTCTCCGAGCTGGGTCCGCTGAGCCGCGCTGGAGCCCGCCAACGTGCGCATGCAATGCGTATCGCGCTCTTGGCACTCGGGCAGGCTCCGGGTGATCTCGCGTGCCAGTCGAAGAAGGCAATATTCCGTAAACGTATTTTTTTGGAGCACCGCGCGCATGTCTCGGATCGGCGCTGGAGGCGCCGCCAGGGCAGCCCAGCGCCGATTCAAGAAATCCGCGCGAAGCTCTGGAAGTTAATGGTTACGTTACGTTGCCAGTCGGCATAAGAAGATAGCAACTTCGATTCGCATCTCTCTCCCCCGCGACTATGAAGTTCGGCCTTGCCGCCCCTCTCACCCGACCGCATCTGCAGTGGCCGGGGATAATAAACTCTCAGTCGTGAAGGGGGTGGGTCGGGCCGAACGAAAGGGGGGGATAGGGAAAGGGTGGGTTACAAAATCTGCTGCACGCAGCTGGTTTCGGCCCCGCCGCCGGGCCCATTCCTTGCAACATGGGCGCCTCCCAGCGCCGGGCGGCGCTGGGAAAATCAGCTACGTGAGCTGATTCTCTACCCTACCCTTTGCTATCCCCCCCTTTCGTTCCCCCTCGAGGGGGGTATATTATTATACGGGGGGCGGGTTTGTCCAGGCTGCTTGCCTCGTGTGCCCGCGGATCTCCGCCGCCGCCGCCCCCCCCCCGCGCCTGGCCCCCCTCCGGCAGGTCCTCAGGCTGCCGGCCCTGGACAGCGTTTGCCCGCAGGCCGGGCAGGGGCTCGCCGAAGTGGCCAGGGGGGCTGCGCGCCGCGCCGATCGATGGAGCGGCGGTGCTTCCCCGTCCTCCTTCCCTTCGTTGCCTCATCCTCTCATCCCTTTCTCTTTCTCTCTTTCTCTCTCTCTCTATATATATAAATACATCTCTTTCTGTATCCGCATATGCATATATACGTATATATACACTGTATGCGCAGATGCACTCACGTGCCCTTGCATATGTTTAAGCATGTATAGCCTTATGTGCGGATTCAAGTGCCATACACATTACGCAGAAGTACACATGAGTATACGCATCTGTACATTTGTGCACGTGTTACGTGTGCGTATGTTTACACGTGCAACTATGTGTATGCCAGTGTATATCCGCACATACATAAATGCATGTATGTGTCAATCGCAACCTGTCTCGATCACTTCATATGTTTCTCTAACTATATATCTAGATAGAAGTACACCTATTCAATTCCGCATGTGTGCTTGTACATGTTTAGATCCGTATCTGTGTACACATATCGTTACCTCGCTGTGTCTTTCTCTCTCTCTCTCTCTCGTTGTCTCGTTCTGTCTGTCTAGCTGTCTCTCTCCCTCTCTCTCTCTCTCCTTTTTGTTCTCTCTCCCTCTCTCCCATCTTACCTCCTCATCCCAATCGCCCTCTCCCCGAGTCGCCTGGGGCCTAGGCCGGCCTCCCAGGGTACCTGGCCTTCCTTTCAATTCGCGGTTGTTGATTCCGACGCCAATATGGCATGGGGGCCACGCGACATAATTCTTCCATCTTCTCCCCGCTTGTCGTTGCATCCCCCAGACAGCCGAGGGTTAGGCGGGGTCGTCGAAGCGGCGTCGAAGCAGAGTCGCCGAAGGCGGTGTCGGCGTCGAAGCAGGGTCGACCACCGTGCTTCACCGCGACTGGGCGGCGTCGAGGCAGGGTCGTCGAGAAGGGGTCGTTAGGCTGCCAGCCCCGGAAAGCGTGTACCCAGCTGCGTAGCAGGCGACGACCGCGGTGACGACGCCGAAGAGCGGGACGATCACGACGGCGAGCAGTAATTACGGCGACGCGCGACGAAGATTGGGACAGCCGAGGCGACAACAGAGACAGAGAGAGAGAGAGATAGAGCAACACAGGGGGATAAGAGGAAAGGGATGCGCGCCGCATGGACCTGGAGGTGCGGCGGAGTGGGGCCCGCAACTCTTGACACGCCGCGACCGCGCCCCCGCGGAAGGAGACCCGTGAACCAGACTGGGCAGGAGGTGGCTCCGCAGGGTTGGTCAGGGACCCCACTCCCCCTCGGGCTCAGCGACTACAGTACAGTGACGCCGGGGTGAGGTTTGCGATCGGCAACGTTGGAGTCTGGGGAGCACGACGCTGTCCTCGTCGGGCCTCGGGACGCGGCGGAGGGCTCGGTCGAGGTCCGCGCCCGCCCACCGAGGTGCCCTCCAGGGTGCCGGCTGCAAACCACACTCGGAGTCGCCGACGGGTGGACCCCCGAACCCAGCACGAATCCCCCCCTCCTCCTCCTTCGTCTGGTCAGGACTTCCCCTCCCAGACATTCGGCGTCGTGATTGTTCCACGATTTCGACCCCGAGAGATCTCCACCCCTTCCCCAGGACCCGCGTTTCATCCCGAGCCACGCCTTGACGGTCCAGGGGGCATATGAGGGCCCCAGAGGCAGAGGATTATGAACAAACGTTGCGTCTAGATGTTTCCAATACTTTGCATGTCTGGGTCTGACTAGTGCTTTCCCCTCTTCTTGCGGGACGGCCCCCTCCGTTCCGAGAGGTCAGCAAAAGCCTGTCGCCGCACACCGGCGATCTCCTGCTGGCATCGCTCTCCGTCGCGTTCGCCACGCTGCCGCCGTCGCTGAGGGCCCGGCTGGCGTCTTCGGCGACTATCGAGGTCTGCGCGCGCACCAGGCCCTGGGATCTCGAGGGAAGAAACACGATGACCATGGCCAAGATATCGCGGGATCTTGTCGACGCCGACCTTGGCCATGGCCCATGCCTGCCGTCGCCGATTCGCGAGAATGATCCAGCAGTTGACGACTCCAAGATCGACGCCGATGTTTCCGCGGTCAGTCTTGGCCGTGGTCTGTTCCACTTGAGTGGCTGTGTTCGGCGAGGGAGAACGGGGTTTTGAGAGGCCTTGCGGTAATGTGTGGCCCTCCCAAGTCTCTGCACAAACGACATGGGTACGGAAAGAATGGGTACACTGCCCAAGAGCAGTTTCTGTTCATTTTGAACAGGACTCGCTGTCCGCGCCGCCGCGGCCTGTGTCCATTTGAGACAGAAGGCCGCCTGCCCAACAGCGGCCGCTTTTGGTTTGGGACAACACTTGTTGTTGGGCATTGTACCCACTTTTCCGTACCCAGTTCGGGCGTCCATTAAAATCGGGGTTGGGGAACCTCCAGCTGCTCGAGCGTTGGGGTCTGGCCATGGCACTCCCAGGCGGCCAAGGCCTTGAATCGGAGGAAGCAGGCGTAATGTTTGCCCCTGGACACTGCTCCCGAGCGGGCAGAACAATTCCTCCAGGGTCGGCAACATCGGGCCCCAGACCTCCAAAGCGCCCATGCTGGGAAAACAAAGACGGATGTCTTCTCCACTTTCGGCCTCCAGGGGCCCTCGCTGCGCCCAGGGGCCCGCTCACAGCGACTCGGGCTGGACAGCGGGCCCGGGGGCAAGGGCGCCGTGACTTCTGGGGGTCGCGCCTCGAAAAGGAAGGCATCGGATCGTCTGGGGTGTGCTCTGCCGGGGGGGGGGGCCTCGGCGAAAAGCAGTGCTGGCAGGTGTTCCCTCGATTCCGGCTTCTGGTCTTGGGTCGGACGTGTCCCCCCTACAGCGGAATTTTGGACGAAACATAAAACAACATGGAAACCAAAACTTCAAAGAGCGACACATAGACAAACAAATCGTCCCCACCAGATTTTTCGACTGCTTTTGAATTTTCCCCCTCTAGAGGGACAGGCCCGACTCAACTCTGGTCAGGGGCAGCGTCAGGGGGGGGAGATGGGCGCAGGGGGGGAAGCGTCGACCCCCAATCGCCTATTTCTCGCCGACGGGGCCCGATCGCCCGCCTGGATAGTACACCTTAGGCGATGCTTAAGAAAACCTAAAGTTTCGGCCAGAGTCTCGATTATTCTTAACTTTTGAATGTAAATCCCAAGATTTTGATAGAAGTTCTGGGTTTTAGTCAATTTCTGAGACTATGAATTTCTTAACCCATGATTTCTTAAGCATTTCGCAGGGTGTACCATCGGGGACCTATCGCCGGTCCATCGGCGATGCATCGCCGATTCAGGCTCGATGGTTTCCCCCCTGAGCCCGTCGCCCCCTGATCTTCCCCCTCGTGTTGCGTGGATTCACGTGCATATGTCGGCCCCATATGGTGGAGGCCCACGCCAGGAAACAGCCAGTGGTTGCCTCCAGGGTGCCCCCCGGTTTCTTGGGTTTCGAAGGTTTCGCGATGGAGAGCGCGACGATTCCCGCGCCAAAAGTCGTGGCCAGCCAGGGCAAGACAAGAGTACAGTGGAGGCCCACGCCAAGAAACAGCCTAATTGCCTCCAGGGTGCCCCAGGTTTCGCGGGTTTCTCGACGGCTTCGCGAAAAGGAGAGCGTGACGATTCCCGCGCAAAAAAAAAATCACTGGACGCCCTGGGGTCTCAGGGTCGGGTTTCTGGTGGCAGGCTTCTCGTGGTCGAGCTCCTGCTGTAGTGCCCGATTGGCCCTGGGCTGCCTCCGATCGCCGCGCGGCCCCGCGCCGCCACGGCGAGATCTGGACAGATTCTCGTGACGCTCCGCGGAGGCCCACCGGCCCGTCCACGAGCAGACCGCCAGGCGAGCTGCCCTGGTCAGGAAGATGTGCAGGAGCACGCAGGATTCCTGGATTCCTGTCCCTGTCAGTCCAAAGACTCGGGGGTGGACAGACCTTCTACCCTGACGCGTCGATTCGCGAATTGGCCGCTTTCGCTTCGCAAGAGGGCGTCGCGGCCGTCGCTTTTGCGGGTCCAGGTCCATCGGCTTCGGTCCCAGGCCGTTTTCACTCAATGGAGGTTAACTAAGGGAGGTTTGTCCACCGCCGAAAGGCACCTGCCCCTGGATTCCTCCCTGGGAGGGCCGCAGGCCAGGCACTGGAACCTGCGCCCCGAGGCTGGCCGGGCGCGCGGTCCGGCGGCCTCGTGGGGGCTCGCGGGGGCCCTCGCATATGTCGCTGGCAGTTTTAAGCCAGGAGGTGTCGATATTTCACGAGCAGTGTTAGGCCCGAGTGTGAGGACATTTCGCTGACACTTCGAGGGCAGGGGTTTTTGAGGATATCTCGCTGGGAGTTTTAGGCCAGGGGGTGAGGATATTTCGCTGGCAGTTTTACGCGAGGGAAATGAGGATATTTTGCTGGCGTGTTTAATTCAGGGGGTTGAGGCTATGTCGCTGGCAGGTTTAAGCGATGGGTGTGAGGATATGTCGCTGGCAAGTTTAGGCGAGGGGTGTGAGGATATGTCTTTGGCGGTTTAAAGCCAGGTGTGTAAGGTTATTTCGCTGGCAGTTTTAAGGCAAGGGGTTGAGGATATGTCGCTGGTTGTTTTGAGCGTGCGATATTTCGCTGGCAGTTTTAAGCGAGGGGTGTGAGGATATGTCGCTGGCAGTTTTAAGGCAAGGAGTGAGGATATCTCGCTGGCAGTTCTAAGTCAGGGGGTTGAGAATATCTCGCTGGCAGTTGCAGGCCAGGGGGTTGGGGATATTTCGCTGGCAGTTTTAAGCGAGGTGTGTGAGGATATGTTGCTGGCTGTTTTTAGGCGAGGGGTGTGAGGATATTTCACTTGCAGTTTTTTACGTGGAGGGTGTGAGGATATGTTGCTGGCTGTTTTAGGCGAGGGGTGTGAGGATATTGCGCTGGCAGGTTTGGGCCAGGGGGTGATATTTCGCTGGCAGTTTTGAGTCAGGGGGTTGAGGATATCTCGCTCGCAGTTTTAGGTCAGGGAGTGGGGATATTTCGCTGGCTGTTGTCAGCGAGGGGAATGTGGATATTTCGCCGGCAGGTTTTTATGTCAGGGGTGTGCGGATATTTCGTTGGCAGATTTAGGCGAGGGCCGTGCTAGTGTTTCACTGGCAGTGTTAGGCCAGGGTGTGAGGATATTTCGCTGACAGTTCGAGGACACGGGGTTGAGGATATATCGCTGGCAGTGTTAGGCCAGGGGGTGGGGATATTTCGCGAGCAGTTTTAAACGAGGGCTGTGAGGTTATGTCGCTGGCAGTTTTAAGCGAGGGGTGTGAGGATGTTTCACTGGAAGTTTTAAGCCAGGGAGTGAGGATATATCGCTGGCAGTTTTAAGCGAGGGGTGTGAGGATATGTCGCTGGCAGTTTTAAGGCAAGGAGTGAGGATATCTCGCTGGCAGTTCTAAGTCAGGGGGTTGAGAATATCTCGCTGGCAGTTGCAGGCCAGGGGGTTGGGGATATTTCGCTGGCAGTTTTAAGCGAGGTGTGTGAGGATATGTTGCTGGCTGTTTTTAGGCGAGGGGTGTGAGGATATTTCACTTGCAGTTTTTTACGTGGAGGGTGTGAGGATATGTTGCTGGCTGTTTTAGGCGAGGGGTGTGAGGATATTGCGCTGGCAGGTCGGGGCCAGGGGGTGATATTTCGCTGGCAGTTTTGAGTCAGGGGGTTGAGGATATCTCGCTCGCAGTTTTAGGTCAGGGAGTGGGGATATTTCGCTGGCTGTTGTCAGCGAGGGGAATGTGGATATTTCGCCGACAGGTTTTTATGTGAGGGGTGTGCGGATATTTCGCTGGCAGATTTAGGCGAGGGCCGTGCTAATGTTTCATTGGCAGTGTTAGGCCAGGGTGTGAGGATATTTCGCTGACAGTTCGAGGACACGGGGTTGAGGATATATCGCTGGCAGTTTTAGGCCAGGGGGTGGGGATATTTCGCTGGCAGTTTTAAACGAGGGCTGTGAGGATATGTCGCTGGCAGGTTTAAGCGAGGGGTGTGAGGATATCTCACTGGAAGTTTTAAGCCAGGGAGTGAGGATATCTCGCTGGCAGTTTTAAACGAGGGGTGTCGGGATATGTCGCTGGCAGTTGTTGGCCAGGGGGTGGGGATATGTCGCTGGCAGTTTTGAGTCAGGGGTGCGAGGATATTTTCAGCCAGGGGTGTGAGGATATGTCGCGTGGAGTTTTCAGCGAGGGGTGTGAAGATATTGCGCTTGCAATTTGAAGGCTGGGGGTGGAGGATACTTCGCTCGCAGTTTCAAGCGGGGTGTGTGAGGATATTTCTTTGGCGGTTTTAAGTGAGGGGTGTGAGGATATGTTGCTGGCAGTTTATTGTCAGGGGTGGAGGATATTTCGCTGGCGGCTTCAATCGATGGGGAGTGAGGATATTTCGTTGGCAGTTTCAATAGAGGTGTGTGAGGATATTTCGCTGGCAGTTTTAGGCCATGGGGTGAGGATATTTCTCTGAGGGGTGTGAGGGTATTTCGCTGGCAGTGTTAAGCCAAGGCGGTGAGGATATTTCGCCGGCAGTTTTAGGCCACGGGGGGGATATTTCGTTATCACATCAGAAGGATTGGTGTGAGGACATTTCGCACGTCAGGGGGTTGAGGGTATTTCGCTTGCCGTTTTAGGCCAGGCGGTTGAGGATGTTTCGCTGGCAGTTTTCAGTTCAGGGGGGTGAGGATCTTTCGCTGGCAGTTTTAGGACATGGTCGGTGAGGATATTTCGCTGGCAGTTTCAAGCGAGGGGTGAAAGGATATGTTGCTGGCAGTTTTAAGCGAGGGGTGAAAGGATATGTTGCTGGCAGTTGTAAGGCCGGGCGGTAAGGATACCTCCCAGGCGTAACCAAGCAACACCATGTGCCACGCACGGGACGGCAGGGGGGGGATTTGTGAGAGGGGGGGGCGGAGGACGAGGACGAAGAGGATGTGGCGAAAGGGGGGGGGTCGGAGGTGGGGACTGAGCGGAGTCGTGGTCGGTCAGGGCATCCACGCGCCAAGCGATGCAGTGTTGAGTCTTGCCGGGCCTGGCCCAGC